GAATGGAACCATTAGTAGGAGATAATGGTATTATTAGTGATAGCAGTCAGCATTGTTAGTTACCTGCTATTGATAGCAATGATATGGAATAAAACATAACTGAATTTACATATGTTATTTTTATTTATTTGTAAACCTGAGACTACAGATTGTGTCACATACTTTCATCAAATACATGAGAGAATCAGTCTCTTTTCTTACTAGTGGGAAATCAAATCCTTAAAATGCAAATTAAAACCTAAACACAACTTAATTAATCTAATCACACCACTTAAAAATTACTTCTTCTACACACAGACTTTGATTTTGCTGCTGCTGCTTAACTCATGTGGTGCTATTCCCTGAGGGCTCAAAAAATTCCTACTCAAACTAAACCATTCTTTGTTTCGGAAGTGGCTCTGTGTTGTCCATGAGGCAGGTAGAGCATGTCAGCAGAAAAGAGACAGGCTATTCCTTGTCAGAGTGTGGTAATTTGGCCCCATATTTTCAGGGGCTTGTTTATTTTATTTTTTTTATTCCCTGCAGCCTTGAATGCCAGGGCTAGATCACAACAGTATATTCTCTTCAGACCAACAGTTTCCATCAGAGGAGTGAAATAACAGTTGCCTCTCTATAGCAATGGAGATCAGCAGCCTCCTCCCCGTGAACAGCGTTGGGGCAGCACTGACATGAGTCATGTAGATTCTTGGCACGGTGGGAAATCTCCCTGAGTAATAAAATTAATTGGCAAGTAATCCCTGATTGTACACCTCAAGGGCTGTAAACTGAGAGCTGTCACATCAGTATGCTTAAAAAATTAAGGTTTTGACTGACTGCACACTTCAAGGTTGAACGCTTGCTCATGCTTGTCTTGACCATCATATTTCAAGGACTACTTAACAGTAGCTGCCTCAACACCTTTTTTTGCTTCTCTTGTCATCCTGCAGGGCACATTCTGGCCTGGGGGATCCCAGTTTGGTTTTTGCTCTCTTTCATTTGTGAGCACAGTTATAGGCTCTGCCTTCTGTGGGGCTGGGGGTAA